ACAGAATGTCTCAACTACTTTCTGTAGCGATGGTGGTATAGTGGTGATCATAGCTGCCTTCCAAGCAGTTGACCTGGGTTCGATTCCTGGCCATTGCAGTCTCTTGACTATAAAATGAAATATTTATTATGAACTTGTCTTCTAACTCTGGTTAACTTGGCAAAAAATTTCACAGAATGTCTCAACTACTTTCTGTAGCGATGGTGGTATAGTGGTGAGCATAGCTGCTTGCCAAGCAGTTGACCCGGGTTCAATTCCCGGCCATCGCAGTGACGTGACTGCAGAATGATAGATGTATTAATTATTAATTTCTTTTCTTAATCTGGTTATCTTGGCGAAAAATTAAACAGAATGTCTCAACTACTTTCTGTAGCGATGGTGGTATAGTGGTGAGCATAGCTGCCTTCCAAGCAGTTGACCCGGGTTCGATTCCCGGCCATCGCAGTCCCTTGACTATAAAATGATATATTTATTAATTATGAACTTCTCTTCTAACTCTGGTTAACTTGGCAAAAAATTTCACAATATGTCACAACTACCTTCTGTAGCGATGGTGGTATAGTGGTGAGCATAGCTGCTTGCCAAGCAGTTGACCTGGGTTCGATTCCTTGCCATCGCAGTCCCTTGACTTTAAAATGATATATTTATTATGAACTTCTTTTCTATCTCTGGTTAACCTGGCAAAAAATTTCACAGAATGTCACAACTACCTTCCATGGCGATGGTGGTATAGTGGTGAGCATAGCTGCTTGCCAAGCAGTTGACCTGTGTTTGATTCCCTGCCATCGCAGTAATTTAACTGTAGAATGAAAGATGCATTTATCAACTTCTCTTCTAAATCTGGTTAACCTGGCAAAAAAATTCACAGAATGTCACATCTACCTTCAGTAGCAATGGTGGTATAGTGGTGAGCATAGCTGCTTGCCAAGCAGTTGACCCGTGTTTGATTCCCGGCCATCGCAGTGCCGTGACTGCAGAATGATAGATGTATCAATTTCTTTTCTTAATCTGGTTATCTTGGCGAAAAATTTCATAGAATGTCACAACTACCTTCAGTAGCGATGGTGGTATAGTGGTGAGCATAGCTGCCTTCGAAGCAGTTGACTCGGGTTCGATTTCAGGCCATTGCAGTGCTTTGACTGTAAAATGTATTTATCAACTTCTCTTCTAAATCAGGTTATATTAGCAAAAAATGTCACAATTAATTTCGGTAGCTATGGTGCTATAATGGTGAGCATAGCATCCTTTATAGCAGTTGACCCGGGTGTGATTCCTGGCCATTGCATATAAATAAAGAAGGACAAGCCCAGACATGTAACTTTTTCTCAAATTTGTTATACTTCTGAAACTTTTCATACAATATCAAGATTGTTTTTCAAGCGACTTTGGGGATTATAGGTGATATAAGTGACTTTATACTTTTCATTGTTGTTGGTCCCAGACGGGCTGCTCTGAGTATTTCAGACACTT